AAAAAAAAAAAAAAAAAAGAATTTACTTTGAAGCTGGGGATTCACAAAGGAGTTCTCTTAGGAACGCAATGGTTGAACACAGTAGAAAAAGGAATGTTTCTTACCAACCCCTTGATAACAGAATCTCAACACTGCCATGCCTCCTGCAGCCTCTCAAGTGGATAGAGATAACTCTTCCATTGTAATCTTTCTGATGAAGAAAAGAAATGAGAACACACATGCCTAAGACCTTCAATATGGGCTTCCCTAATCCCCTCTTCACCTTTTTGATCAGCTCTAGCACTTACATCAGCAGAAAATCTAAACAAATAGAGGAAACGCTGTAGAGAAATGAATTAAGGAGAAGTGTGCTAGGATTACCAAGATTAGTGCCAAAGAAAGAAACTGTCCTTAAATAAGCACAAGACAAAATGTCAGAGCGATGCAGGGGCAGAAAACAGCTAAGGTTATGTTTTCATTTTAATAAAGTAGAAATATGTAGGCAGGAAATCATTTTCAAAAAAATTTTCACTTGGTAAAGCCACAAATCAAAAGTACACACTTTTAATTATAAACTGAACAGACAAGACTTTAGGCAACTCTGAATTTGGGATCTGAGTTTTATGCTATTGATGTGTAGAAGAGGTGTGAGTGCCAGAGTTGGCCAGGTTTGACATCTCACAGTCACGATTCTCTGGTCCTAGGGCAACACGAGATGTTCTTAGACTCCTAGTCTTTAGGTATGTTGCTAAGAATTCTATTATGCCGCACTTTATGGCGCAAGGCAAATAGATTGCTTCTCTCTTTTCCTGTTCGCTCCATGGCTAGGTCCTGGATTGCTGTCTTGGTCTATTTGTGTTGCTAGAAAAACATACCCCAGGCTGGGTAATTTATAAAGAAAAGAGGTTTGGCTCATGGTTCTACAGACTGTGCAAGGAGCATGGCAATGGCATCTGCTCAGCTTCTGGTCTTTGGGCTGCTTCTATTCATGGCAGAAAGCAAAGGGGAGCTGGTATGTACAAGTCACATGGTAAGAGAGGAAGCAAGAGAGAAAGAGAGCAGAGGAGGTCCCAGGGCCAGGCTCTTTTCAATACCGGTTCTTGAGGGAACTAAGAGTGAGAACTCACTCCTGCGAGAATGGCACAGAGCTCTTCAGGACGGATCTGCTATCCTGATCCAAACACCTCACACTGTTGTGCCCACAGGAGTTCCACAAAAACCACACTGCCAAACAAGCCGAATTTATAGCAGAGCCCCTTTATTGAAGAGCCAGCCAGCGACCACCTCAGTGTCCCAACATGGGGTTTCTGAGAGCAGCCGCAAGTGCTTAATGGGTTGGGTTTTCAAGGCTTGGTCTGTATCCTGGTTGGCATGCAGACTGTCCAGGTGCATCTGGGTAGGGTAGCAAGCGAATATGGTACAGAAGCAGAATTGTTTTTTGAATTTTGTTTTTTGAATTCAGGGAACTTTATTGATGTTACATGACAAGGTGGGGCTCCCTAGGCACCTCCTGTTCTTTAGGGGGTCTGGGTAGAAACTGCATTGAGAGAAGATTCTCAGTGAGGTGGGGGACTGAGTAGGCAGGGGCACCCCAGCAGCTAAGGGCCTTTCTCTTCCTCTCGTGCTCTGGCTGGGGCTGGTGGTCTGGGGGTTCTTACTCCTTGGAGGCCATGTGGGCCATAAGATCCACCACTCTGTTGCTGTAGCCAAATTAATTATCATACCAGGCAATGAGTTTGACAAAGTGGTCATTGAGGGCAATGCCAGCCCCAGCATCAAAGGTGGAAGAATGGCTGTCACTGTTGAAGTCAGAGG